CATCTGAGTATTCCGTTTCCGTTTCATCTGAGTCTGTACCTGTTGATTGATCGATGATCTGAGACTGCTGAGATGGAATATTTTGTTGGAGTAACATATACAACTCAATATAGTTGATACCATAATGTTTGTTACTAACAAACATATTTTCAACATCTTCATCATCGTGCACTTTAAGTAGATAAAATATAACGTGGTTGGTTTAAAAAAAAACGGGTTTTGATATATAATTTGTGATATAGGACCAAACCCTAATTTTAACTCCAATCTATCTTTGAAATGCAATAAACTTGTGTTTTTATTGATTGTTAATCATATAACATCCGTGTTTTGAAAACCAAACCCAGATACATCAGAGACATATGTCTCTCCGTCGTAGTGGGTGTTAACAACATATCTCGGTGCAGATGACATCATATACTTCTTGTTAGAGAGTTACTATATTTGGTTGCTTCAGATGACAATACATAGGGTTGGTTAAATATGCATGGAGCATTTAATGAAGTCTCCAAATAAATTGGCGACAGGGTACATTCCTTGAAAGGGGGCGCCAATTCAAATTGAGACATGGTACAGTCTGAGCACATAGTGTCGCCATGTGATTGTCAGCCTGCTATGCATGCATGGGACATGTCTCAGCCTACATGATCAGCTAGTTCACGTGCCTAGAAGTCTCCAAATGGACTGGCGACTCTTCCTAAGCTTTAAACATGGTCGCCAATTCATGTGGCGCCACCTTGTTGCATGAATTTTCTTACTTTGGTCACATGCATGACCTATGTTGTTATATAAGTTCAGCTAGAGGTATTGATGGTTGAATCATCAGAAATATTTTTATCAGACTAGATTGTCACTAGTATCAAAGAATTATGTCTCTATTGACAATGGGTGAAACTCATAGAGGGACTGTCGCTAATATCGAGAATTATGCAAGTTTTTACTCCAGTAAGTGTTTTTTTATTGACAATGTGTAAATGTGTACGTGTTAATTTTTTCTAAATTGACAATGTGTTATTGTACCTGTTTATTTTTTCGTAGGATGTCTCTAGGTTTCGTCCTCGTGTCCATGAATATGTTGCCCCCGACGAATCAATTGTATCCAAATTGAGCTTGTCGATTTTGGACATGTAAGCAAAATTATGTCTTATTTAGTTTATGAAAATTTTATACTAGCTTTACAAGAGAGATGGCGCCTAGAGACACACACCTTATTTTTCCAACCGATGAATGTACCATGACGTTAGAGGATGTGTACATGTTACTCGGTTTGCGTATTGATGGTAAGACGGTCAATGGACCAACAAACCTTGATAGTTCAATTTGTGAGGAACTTTTGGGTGCTGACTTGTTGGATGATAGCTCAAGAGGCCAAGGTATCTTACTTTCGCGTCTCAAGGCATGGTACAACAGTTTAATATTAGATGAAGATTCTACTGAAGAAATGAAAAGTATAAAAACCAGGTTTATCTTATGCTTTTACTTGGTTTATTTTTATTTTCCGAAGGTACCGGTTCTTCTATGCACGTTATATATTTACCCTTATTGAGAAACTTAGATAAAACAAGAGAATATAGTTGGGGTTTCGCTTGTCTATCTTATTTGTATAGCGCTTTGTGTGAGTGCACCCAAAAAAACACATCTACTTTTTTTGGATGCGCCGTTTTGCTCCAAGCATGGGGTTGGTCTAGATTTTCATCCCTAACTCCCCACAAATAGCTTTTCATTCCCGTATTCACAAAAATAAGTTAATAGCTTAATATTAGTTAATTCACCTAATTATTGTGTCTAACTAATTGAATTTGAACTATTTGTTGTTTAGATGGTCGACTCGGGGTATGAGTTACAAGAGATGTCCTAGACATCGTATCATTCAATACCGCAATCTCTTGGATCACCTTACACCTGGGGATGTAAGGCCTCTAAACAAATCCATTTATTTTTTATATCACCCATTTTATGATCTAATATTTTTCTCTTCTTCAGTTCGTTTGGCATCCATATCTAAACATGGAAGACCTACATGAAGTCAGTGAGGAAGATGCAGTCGTTTAGACTGCATACATGTTAATCATCAGATTCACCACTGTGGAGATGCACCACAGTGACCGTGTCAAACTACAGTTTGGAATGCATCAAAACATCTCAGATCCCCCGATTGACCTCAGTAAATGGCATCTAAAAAAAGCTAATGATCAATGGGACTATCCCGATTGGAAGGGTTTTACAAAACCTGAGTGTCGTAAATGGAGGAATCGTCACGCCCATGTCTTACGTGATCCGGTGATGGAAATACCTTCTATACCAACTAATACTTATATGGCCTGGTACAAATCAATTGCAACTAGGTTTGCCTCCGAAGAGAGGTATTTATACGACCCACAACAAACCACCTACACACAAGAAGCTTCAATGTCTAACCCACCGAGAAATTATCAGCCATGTTACTTACAACCCCATACCCAACAGAATTACCAGCCCACTAACACACAAAGCCACCATCCAAACATGTCATACACCCAACCACAATACCAAGAGCGTCTCATATACCATCTCCAACAAAATGACTATTATCAAGAAACCCAATATGGCTATGCCCCCAACACAACATCAAGATATAGCCAAAATGAGGGTACATCATACCATAGCCATAACGCCCAAATATATTTCCATAGCCAAAACGCTCATACATCATACCCTAGCCTACACACACAAACATCACAACAACTAACATCACAACAACCATATGGCTTTCAAACACCAATATTATTTCAACCTTTTACCAACAAAGCCTTCATACCAATGTCCCTCTTCATTTGTCCAGGCCGCACACCAATGACCCCTTCATAACGTTCAAACTACTTTGGCATGGGTCGCACGCTCGATTTCAACACACAAGACCTCTTGGAAATGCAAAAATTTCTTAGGGAATCAACTGAGAATGTTCCTGAGACTTCAACTCCTCAAACACCTGGAGTGAATTAACAACGAGGGGGACGAGTATAACGAGTGAGAGTGTCTAGGGGGTGTGGAACCGGTGGCCGGTGTGACCAACCCGGTCGCCAACATTAATTTATGTAATATTATTTTTAACTAATTATTAATGTTATTTATTTTTGTTAAAAAAATTACACAGTGCACCCTGTCTCCAAATGAATTAGTGACACCATTATATGTTTAACAACAACATTATATGGTATCTCCAATCCAATTGACAACACCATTTAAGTCCAATAAACAGTCTTCAATTGAGATGACGTCAGCACTCTATAACACCCTCAAAATAGGATATTTTAAAAAATAAATTGAAAAGTGGTTTATTTTCAATTTTTTTTTAATAAAAAAGTGAGTTATTTTAGTAAAAAAATTTAGTTATCTTTAATAATTAATTTGTACTGTTGTGTGTAGAAGATATTTTACTTTATAAAGAAAATAGTGAATTCAAAATGAATTGTTTATATTCTAAATCCCAACTTAATTAATTAATTAATAAGAGTTATCTTCAAATTAACTTTCTATTTGTTTGTCTATGGCTCTTTAAAAAAAAATGATTAGTTAAATTTAATTTTACGAAAATACATTTATTAATTATTTTTATTGAAGTAGTTGAGTTGAATAAAATTTAATAAATGAAAAAAGTTAATAAAAATATTAAAATGAATTGTTTATATTCTAAATCCCAACTTAATTAATTAATTAATAAGAATTATCTTCAAATTAACTTTCTATTTTTTTTTTGTCTATGGCTCTTTAAGAAAATGATTAGTTAAATTTAATTTTATGAAAATACATTTATTAATTATTTTTATTGAAGTAGTTGAGTTGAATGAAATTTAATAAATGAAAAAAATTAATAAAAGTATTACATTAATGCTTTAAAATTTTAAAAAGACGATTATTAAGAGAAAAAAAACCAATTGTACATTTTTTTTTCCAAATCAAAAGAACATTTTTTTACTAGGCACATAGGGTATCTAATCTATTTATCTTATGGAAGTGTAATTCAAAGAATAGTATATCATTTCCATTGTTATTCCTTCATTGTATCTTATAAGTGGAAAGAACTCATTCATATACACAAGGTTAAACCAACGAAGATTTCATTCATATACACAAGGTTAAACCAATAGTACATACTAAGCATAACACAAATTTTAAAATAGAATATTTTTAAAGTTTATAATAATAGTTTAGTAAAATTATTAGATTTGCTTTTTATTTTAATATTAAATAACATAATCAATTTTGTTAATTTTTTCAATTGATAATAAAGTCAACTAATTTAATCTATCAAAACACTATCTTTTCTAATTAAAAGTTGTTGAATTATTATCAATAACTTATTTACATTAATAAATATAAAAAAATGATGTCTACATTAATAAATATAAATAAAGACTTCTGTCATGGAAGATACTATTACCTTTAGATAAAATTTTATTAATATTTTGAAATTAGTAGATAATACATGTGCTTTTATCAATTATATTCTAATTATACAAAAAACTAAAGACCAAAATGAAATTCGATTCATTGAAAAAGAGTATAACACCTGTCAATAATTCTTAATTTACCCTAATTAAATATCTAAAAATAATTACTACAAATATTATATATAATTTAAAAATGATCCAATTATAACATATTTTACTTTCTCCGGCATCATAAACATGGGAGCTTAAATTATGAGCACATAGTTTCTGAATCTTGTTTAGGCCACCCAGCAAGACACTATCAAATGCTCCATGTTCTTGCAGCTCAAGTCTATTTCAATAAAATTCCTGTCAGAGAAAAGTGCAATGATTCCAACACATGCTGTTCTGCTTGATCAATCCTCTTGCCATCTGCTACTCTGTTGATGCATAAGTATTGATTCTTTCCTCCAGATCTGTTGTCACCATTAAGCTTTTGACGTAAGAACATAAATCAAGAGCTCTTGTCAAATAGGCAATCTATTGAGTCACCACCATTTACCGATATGTAAACGACACAAAATATGTAAATTAAGCCTCTTGCTTCTTTTCGTCCAACATGAGCAAAACCTCATCTTGGTGTACAATCTTTGCCTTTTTGTTACTTTCCATGACCAAAACTCCGTCTGCTACTCTTTCATCTTCAACTTGAAGTTCTGGCATCAGGTCTCTGTCTTTCAGAGTGGAATCGCCTGTGTCCACTGAACCGCATTTCTGAAACTTGAAGTTTGGATTCAAGCAGTTTCGGATGAAAGTGCTAGAGGCTTCGGCATTTACGTAGTTAGTTGAAGGAATGCTTACGGTTTCATTGTTTGCAGGATTATAACACGGAATCTCCAATTCGGAATGAATTCTTTCTTTTAGAGAATCCATTTTAGGCTTCTCACCATGCACTAGTATAACATGCTTTGGGGAGAGAAATTTTACAAGATCCATTATCCCTTTAGAATCTGTGTGAGGACTAAAAGCCAACTGATGAACCTGTCAATTTAAGAAAAATATTAAACTATTTGAGAAACTAAATGAACTGATTCATTTACTTCCATGTCAGTTCGTGTTTCATTTATCTAACAAACAATCAACATAAGATATATGGTTTCAGATGTATCCTTGTTCTCAAGTCATGTCAGTTACAAACTCATAGCACCAAACTCAATAACTTATATAAGTATATATAATCTGTGAAAGTAATGAGGTATTTCTTTCTTGCTTTCTAATACAGATTTTTTTTATCGCTAGGCAGATTTATTTACTTGTATATGCTGCTGCTAATACTTATTTTCCTGCTGAAATGTTCGCACAGAAGATAATTTTCCTAGTAAATAAAAGGGTGAGAAATAAATCGTACCTGGCAACGCACGTCTATCTGTGTATCAGGATCTATATCAATGTTGGTAGACTTCCCTGATGTTAATTTATGTCCTACAGTTCCTGCCAAACAATACCTACAAAAGTAACACAGAACTGAATTTATAGAAAACAATTGATATGTAAGTATATCGAAATAAGATGAATGTATACAGAAAAGAAAAATAATACTAAAGAAAAGGCAAAAATTGGAATGGAGAAACAGAGCATTGCAATGCACACAATATAGGTTGTGACATATTGTAGAAAGATAAAGAGAGAAGAAAACTACTATTCATTTACTTTTTATCATGGGCAACCAATAATATTCACAACAGTGGCACATTTAAGCCCCCGAAACCCGAATTCGCAGACTAATAAGGAAAGCCACTATTCTAGAAAACACACAAAATTATAACTTTTCAAGCAAGTGCAGAGTGAGGACCAACCATCTAGCTTACCACAAAACCAGCAAATAATCCATCACCAAGCCATCAAGCAACAGAAATACAATTGATTACCAGGTGATAGATTTAAAATAGTTTGAATTCCATTTATTTTTAAACGTGATACACCGATAGCGGGAGACATTTATGTGCATTTTGTTCATCTTTTATCTTATAAGCATAGCTACTATAAAAATTGAAAAGGAAGTAAGAAAAAAGAATATAAATGGGTGTACCCAGGCAGAGTGACAAGATTATTTTCAGATGGTGCCCAGTGTTTAAAAACTTCAAGTGAGAATCCACCACTTATCATCCCAGGGGTGGCAAAGAGAACACAAGGACCAGGAGCATCAAGCATAGACCGCTCAAACTTGTGAACTGCAATATCCAAACCAGGTGAGTGAGACATAGGACTTTATCGGATGATACATTTTTTCGCAACAAATTATACCTCCATTCTCAGTTTTTATAAATGCATGAAATAATACAAATGATTTAGTCACAAAGTCCACTCCTTTACCTCATAACATTTAAATCTTTCGCATGCATCCTTTATTACTAATTTTTCTAATCTTTCACATGCCCCAAAATTCTCGCTTTTGTGCGGTTTGGAAAATTGTGTTTTTCACATTAAATTCATAATCATTTAGAAAAATAAATTACTAACTATAAAGGCTATCTATTGAATATACAGCGGCAGCAACAGCTTTATCCCACTAAGTGGGGTCGACTACATGGATCAACTTTTGCCATAACGTTCTATCTAGGACTATGCTTCCATCCAAATCGTTAATCTCAAAATCTTTCTCAATAACTTCTCTTATCCAAAGGCTTGAATATAAAAAACACATTTAACCACAGGAATGCTCCAGCACAAGGCTCTTTATCAAAAGAATGGAATTGCTAAAACAATGGAATTGCACGAAAAGATGATTGGGAATAGGGGTGTTCATGGGTACGGGCCAACCCGCGAACCCATTCACCCAATCCAACCCCACTCTTACTTTTACCTAGCCCAATCATGTACGAGTCCAACCTGAACCAACTCGTTCAAACCCATTGGTATTTGGTTCGGGTAAAGGTTTCGAAATTTTAAAACTGTGAACCCATTGACATGTCATGCTATTTTTATTTTATTCTTTATAAACTATCTAGCATAATCCTTAAATGCATATATATTTTATTAATATAATTATAAATTTTATTAATTGTAAAAACTTAAGTCTAAATCAAATTTGAAAAATCAAATTCCTATATTCAAAGAGAGATACATCTTACCCTTTAAATTATATTTTACATCATTTGTATTTTCTTTTGTGCTTGATTTGAATTGTGAAAGAGTTTTTAGGCATTAAACGATACATTTTATTTAAATTAAATACTAAAATTTTATAATTTTTTAATGTTTTTGTAAAATAAATGTGTTAATTAAATTGATATTTTATTTAGAATTTAAAAATAATATTTAGTGGATGATCCGCGAATCCAACCCAACCCAACTCATTGATGAGCCGGTTGGTTTGGTTCGAGTTTAATCTTAAAATTACGGATTGAACACTGAACCCAAACTAAACACTATTGATTGGGTTGGGTATTGAATTAAATCAAATTAGAGCCAACCCAACCCAACTCACGAACACTCCTATGGGAATTATGACATTCTTTGATTTACTAGTCCCATGTAGTGGGAAAAATGTTTGGTTGTTGTTTCATGCATAGATGCGACTTCACATGTGAAATATAATTTAGAAATTTATGAGAACTTCAGAAATAAAAATATCACCATTCTTAAAATCAAATGCATTATGTGTGGAGTATGTATCTTTAATCTTCTGGCTTGTCCAACCAATAAGCATCTTGTAATACATATTAGCTTGAATAGTTAATCCTGAAAGGAAAAATATATATTCAAATAGTTAGAATTAAAATGTCATACAAATACCAACAAATAATGAGAAGTACACCATAGGAAGATATATACAGCTCAAGAAGTCACATATGACCAAGCTGCATTGTATTATGTCTATCCAATTTAATATATTTGTTATAACTTCAATTATATTATTTAGTGCTGACTAGTATGGAACTGAAAAGAAAAGCAGAAAAAAATATCATTATAAATTGCAATATTTGAAGATTATGCAAACTACGATAGTATTTATTTTATGACATATATTCTACAACTTGGGAACGTATTAGCAGATACTAATACAATTACTTCTTGTAGGACAAAGTTGACACTACATATTTGCCGCATATATCATTTTAATCATTTTTGCTTATAAATATTTTCTTTAGTACATTTCAATGAAAAATAATTTCATTTTGGTTTTTCTTTTTTTATCAGCAGCATAATTGTAGTCGAGTTCCTATGTTTCACGTGATTTGGTCATTCTTTGGAAGTGTCGTTCAACCAGAGTTATCGATAGTGGCCAATACCCGCGCTATCCTGGGATAGCGGCCCCGAGCAGTGACCTTCCACTATGGAGGAGCAGTTCGCATCTCAGTTTGAGATAGCGTCCGCTATTTGATGTTTAACGGGTCGCAGGAGCATAGCGCTTCCCGACCGGAGCGGATTTAAACTGCTTTGAACGTGAAAACCCATATTTATTCTTAAATAAACATCGGAGGAGTTTTTTTTAGGGAATTTTTCCAATTTTCCCTAACTCAGCATAAAACAGAGGATTCGATCTTCTTCTCACACACTTTCTCTTCAGTTTTCTTCTCACGATCTCTTCCCAGTGCCGCATCTGTCTGCTTCATTTCTCAGCTGTTAAGTATAGCAAGTATAAGTAGCATGGGTAATAGTCTCACATTGACTAGAAATGTGGAGACTTTAGCATTTATAAGTGGGAGAACTCATACACCTATCACCTTAAGGTTTTGGGTAAATATGTAGTGTGTCTCTCAAAAAGGTCTTGCTCTAGAAAAAGAAAGTCCCGCAATGTTCAATGCTCCCAAGTAAAAATCTTCCCTAACAGTGATATTATGAGCTTTTGGTTCGAGAGCGAAGGACCGGCTCAAGCTTCCGCTTAAGAAGGAGCATTGTGGATAGACTCACACTTGAGGGGGAGCTTTTGGTTCGAGAGCGAAGGACCGGCTCAAGCTTCCGCTTAAGAAGGAGCATTGTGGATAGACTCACACTTGAGGGGGAGTGTTAAGTATAACAAGTGTTAGTAGTATGGATAATAGTCTCAAATTGACTAGAAATGCAGAGACTTGGGTATTTATAAGTGGGAGAACCCATACACCTATCACCTTAAGATTTTGGACTTCCGCTTAAGAAGGAGCATTGTGGATAGACTCACACTTGAGGGGGAGTGTTAAGTATAACAAGTGTGAGTAGGATGGATAATAGTCTCACATTGGCTAGAAATGCGAAGACTTGGACATTTATAAGTGGGAGAACCCATACACCTATCACCTTAAGATTTTGGGTGAATATGTGGTGCGTCTCTCACAAAGGTCTTGCTCAAAGAAAAGAAAGTTCCACAATCTTCAATGCTCCCTAGTGAAAATCCCCCTAACATCAGCAACGCCACCTCCGTCTGCTTCGTTTCTAAGAGTCGCCGCCTGCAATCTCGTCTTCTCAAGTTGGTTTTTACTTCTCTGGTCTTCTTTCCTTCTTTCTTCTTTTTTCTTTTCTCTTCTTTCTTTTCTTCTTCTTTCTTCCTTTCTTTTCTCTTCTTTCTTCTTTCTTTTCTCTGTTACTTTATTCTTTTTTAAAGTCTTCTTTTCTTCTCCTTTCTTTTCTCTTTTTTCTTCTTCTTTGTGTTCTCATTTTATAACTTTATTCCTCTTCTTCCTCTTTTATTTGTTTGGTTTTACATAAATATATGTTTTTATAGATTATTCATATAATTAGTCTAAAAAATAGCGGTTATCCCGTTATCTGCTATCCCATTTTTGGGATCGACCGCTCCACTCCACTATCTGGGATTGATAACTCTGCGTTCAACAATCTTAAATTTACGACTATGCCCAAGCCTAAATAAATAATGAAAACTAAACACTCATAGGCATAGGCATTGATGCATATATGTCTCTTTTTATATTTTGATTCTTCAAAGAAAGGTACATTATGTGTGGTTAGTATTATCATAATAGCCTACATTTCTTTCTTTTATTATTGAAAATTGAAGAAGCCTTTTTATTACATACACAATTTATAAGATCTCATTTCATAGGTAAGCATTCCTTTGTTGCACCGGAACACAGATAAATGTCAAAAACCAGGTTGTCCCTCCCCTCAAGCAAAACCTCAGTCTAGGAATTGAATGTGACAAAGCAAAAAGCATGTGATTATATTTGGCATAAATATGTATATCTGTAAATCAGGGACGCTAGCCGATTTAAACCTGCAGAGAAGTAGATAGGAACCTTCAAATTCATGCGCTCCCAATAGTCCTCCAACAAAATGCATAGTTCCTACATATCATAATAACTTGGTAAACATACAACACCCTTGTTACATTACATCATGATTAATGTTTTGAATTTCGATAGTTAAACTGGTCACTGAACCAGAATTGTGAGTAGTTCACTTCATGAATCATTAACCCCTCTGGTCAAAATAGACTAACGAGAAATGTCTTTTAGATAATTATACATAAAAGCAAGTGCTTTTAGTTCTCAATGAGGACTAAAAAACCATTATGTTAAATATAATGATTTAAAATTGAAAAAATAATTGGAGATTACCTTCAAATATACAGTATCATATCTCCAAGGATTACAGAAATCAATTTTCATTTTCATTTTATCTAATTAATTTAGTAACTTTCTTTAAAATAAAAATGTCAATATAAAAAATATATAACTACATATTTTAAATATTAAAGTTGCTATTTTCTAGATTAGAAACTGAGATTGAAGAAAATGCTAAAACAGTGAATGGTAATTCAGAGTACGGACATAACACAATAAGATTATCAATGAATGTAAGAACTAAGAACAACAATAATCAAACTTTATCCCACTATGTGAGGTTGACTACATAGAACTAACGACGCCACAATGCTCTATCATATCTTTATCCAAGTCATTGATCTCTAGGTCTTTCATGATAGTTTCTCCTATAGTTAGTCTTGGTCTTTCTCTTCCTCTAGCATTTGAGCTGCCTTTCGTCTGACCTGCTTGCCTTACTACGAAACATATAGGTCTCATACGTTGATACCCAAACCACCAAAGTCAAGATTCAACCATATTTTCTACAATAAGTACTATTTAAAACTCTCTAATGATATCATTCTTTAACCTATCTAGACTAGTATTTCCAAACATCGAGCGTCATAATCTCATTTCTGCTACACTGAACTTACTCTTATACTAGCATTTACCAACCAACACTCAATCCTATACAACACCATTGAAAGTCATACGATAAAACTTTCTCTTTAGCTTGAGATGTACTTTTATTACATAAAACCCTCAAGCTCCCCCTCATCTTATCTAGTCTACTTAAATCTGATAGTTTATATCACCCTCTTTCTCAATCGTTTCGAATAATGGATTCAAGATGTTTAAATCATGTGGCTAGTGGTATGGTATGGTCTCTGATTTTTACCTCTTAATTCTATATACTTTGCTTTTGCTAAACTTATATGCATATACTATATCTTACTTCTACTAAAATGAAAGCATTGTTCTCCTAAGGTTTGTCTCCAAGTCTCTGACCTCCCATTTATTTCCTCTCGTCTCTCCAAGTAGGATTGTATCATCCGCAAATAAAAACATACATTGCAGTACTAGCTCTTGAACATGTTCCATTACTACATTCAAGACTAAGGTGAAAAGATAGGGGCTCATGTTCATGCCGCATATGTCCGATGTGGGACTCTTAACACTGCCTCTCCCTCATCTTGTCTCTTTTAATGAGTGTGTTTGGATGGAAAGGGAGGAAGTTCAACATGGAAACATTGTACCGAGACAAGAACCATAATTACTTCTCCGGTCATTAGCTATAACAAACAAAAACAAATTACAATAATGAGATGAATGGTCATTTTAAGCATAATACCTGAGCTCTTCCAAGAGCAAATGTTGGAATAAGCACCTTTCCTCCACCAGAAACACATTTATGAATCTGAATCAATTAATTTGAAATTTAGTAACCAACATTAGATTAATTGTAACATCAGGTGCACTTACAAAAGTAAATAAATCATAAAGCAAAAGAAGCACAAGCAAAAAATTCAAAAGCAAAAAAAAAAAAATTTAAATTTGTAATTTTATTATATGCTTGTTGAAACTACCCCGCTGCTATAGCATTTTGGGGGTCGTCCACTACACTAAGCTGTCTTTTATTGACTACATAGTATTCTTCGAAATAAACACAAGGACTCCCTATTTAAAAACAAATAAATGCTAATGACGTCTAGATATCTAACATAAAAATTAATTATAATAAACTTCATTGAATATAATATTTAGATTACCTAAAAAGCTGTGAATACTAAATACTGGACCCTTGAAAATATTTTGCTTTTAATTGGATATATACTAAGAGCTTACTAGAAAAGCCACAGACAAATCTTTACTCTAGCACACAGGAGTACAATTACAAAAAGTTATGAGCCTTGAGTAAAAAACTATAAAAAATATAAAAATGGAGACAAAAGGAAAGATGATAGCATAGGATAATATTGATTCCTCGAAAAATAATAAGAAAATGTATGAACTGACATAAAGAGACAGTCACACTTCCTGGCTATCTATCAAAGACGCCTCATCTTTCAACTCGCTACAAACTTCCTCTAAACCATAACAAACATCCTCACTATCAACGCAGTTTGTGATGAAGCAGCTAAGAAACCCCTACGGCAAAGGAACACTTCTCACACCAATTGCACTGCATGTGAGAGGGAGAAAGGAAGTAGGTCGCAAACATGGTTTCAGTCATCGTTCAAACCCGAATCATTTGCACTGGGGCCTTTGGGCATATTAGGAGGTACTTACATACGTTCAAAGATCTGCAATCTATATTGTGATCAAGGGATAATTTTCCTAATTTCTTTACAAGAAAATACTATCAAAAAAATACTGGTTTCTATCGTATGACCAACCTAATGCATCAAATAGAAGCAAAATAGCACAAATCGACAAAACTTTGCTTTCTTTGCTTCAGTCAATATCTCATAACCTAATCTAAAAAACTGATTCATGCTAAGAGCATAAACCAAGATTTATCAAAAATATCAAAGGCCCACTTCAAATATAGGACATGTCAATGCAAACACAGATGGAAAAAGTATGAGAGAAAAGGGGGTTGAGAAAGTGAGATCCACAAAGCTTCTACTTAATAAGGCATTAAATAAACACTTCTAGTTCACAGTTCCTTCAAAGTAATTTTGTGAATACATACAGCTTTGAGGAATTCCCTCTCTCGAGCATATTTTGAGTCACGTATCGTGGTCGCATATGTGGATCTGAAATGAGATTGAGAGCCATAAGAAAAGTGAGTCCAATATAATCCTTCTTATAATTACAAGCAGTGAGTGCAAAACAGGTACTTGCATCTTAAACCATATTGAACCATTATTCAATAGATAAAAAAACACCTTCTGAAATGCATATGAATGTTGCTGCACCTTGTACACGTAACAATGACAATATAATTTGCAAATTTGACACTCCTATGCTCAATTAGATAAATTAAGGTAAAAAGTATAACAACATTAGTAAATTAAGGTGGCAAAACACATGTAACCCAAAAACTAAAATTGGTCAAATAAAGAAAAATAAGGGCAACACAACCTAATCTCAGAACTACTTGGTCATGTAGGAGCAATAATGTGGTTTGGTGGAGGGACATAAAGGTTGAAGTGATAAGTAAGGAAGTTCAGCTTGCTCCGCCAAGGATTCGTTCATATTTCTAACAATAACATAAACATGCAAATAAATAGTCAAGTAAATTCAAATTTAAAAAATAATTGAATATGAACTAATATAATTAATATACTCTAAACAATAAACAAGTAGAGGATATCATTTATAGCCCTCACTATAGTGCATGTTTAGTATCACGGTGTGTATGCCTGAATTACAGTGGCTCCCCATGATTCTGACATACCCACCATCATACCAAGCATACACATAATGTTGATGATATCATTATAGAATGGATTTACACAGTCAATAATGTTCTTACTCAGTTATAAGAAGGTCAAGTCGTAGTCGATCAATTTGAGCTGCTCCTAGGTGTCTATCTGGTGTCATATTGTAGTCTCCTGTATAAACCATTTCTGCATCTCCGACTTTTACATAGAACATCGCAGCTCCGATAACCTTAACAATTTATAAGAGGCTGAATGATCAAATGAGTACTAAAAAATCAATTCTAGAGAAAAATAAAAAATATTCATCAAGATAGACATGACAGCGAAAGTAACCTGAATGACAAAAAAAAAAATCCTAAAAACATCCTCATATAAAATGATGAGTTATGTTTCAAGGAGTGGTACTTCACATGGAAGGTTTAATAATGTTAAGTTTGTGCTATCAAGTGACAGACATGATATATTATAGTTGAATCAATCCTGATGTGGGTAGAATAAAGTGAAAACTAAAAAGCTTCAATAGCTCAGTGACTATGCTGTTTAACTAAAATATCAGGAATTAGACATATGATGGAACTAGAAGATGCGACAATAGAAGGATAACTTTTGCCACCAAGAAAGAACAGAATTAACCATTCCACAATATTGAAGGATAACATCCATCCCAAATTTATTGTGTTAATGTTGTATCAGTAAAGTCCATTAAATAAGAGTGGACTATCTTATTACGTCTTTTTAAATAATAATTTCTTTTCAGAAATTGTAGTGTTGCAGCACAGCTGAAAGGGAAGCTTTGTGCAACAGTTGAAATTGTCAGCGTGTGATTGAAAAGGCATAAGTTCAACTAGAGGATCAACCTCTTGCAAACACAAGGTAGGATGGCCTCCTATAGATCCACATAACCTTGCAGATAGGATTTTTATAACACCAGATTCCCTTCAGTAGTCAATAGTTATATTATTACACGGTGCAAAATCAAAAGATATCTCAGCTGGACAAAATCAGGAAATAAATATTTCGAGACTATTTTGCATTGTTCTTGTTCTTCTGCTATCTAAGACTATCTAAATGCTAATCTTGAAAGCTACTGGATACATTCATTTAGAACTTTGGAAGTCTTATCTCTTCTAGACTTTCAACCAGACTCTTTCATCTTATTTTGAATATTTTATGTATGGTTTCTGATTTACCAATTTTTGGGCATCCCATCCATTACATTTTATATTATACAAAATTAAACAAGAACTTCAATGGTGAGAAAATCGCCAATGAAACAGGTGTTAAACATATTACTGCAAAGGAAATACGACTTCAGAGATGAAGCTTATAAGCATTACATGTCCTGCATAATATGCACGTATCTCCAAATCTTCATCTACTTGCACAGTCTGCTTCAGATCTACAGCAATAACTGCTAACAGGAATCATGTAAAATTATAATAAGTATGATATAGATATATAATTAAGATGTTAATGTCAGAGGTGTGGCTGTGCCCAACAAACCAAAACACACACCAAACTACTGATTGAGCATGATCGAATATTCTTTTAAATTCACACAAATCTAAACTATGTAATTTTAGTTTGCCATCATTATCAATTACGGAAAAAACAACAAAAATTTATACAGTAGAGAATTAATAGCTATCCTTCATTAAATAAAATCCTTGTGACAAAGTAGCGATATAGAATTCTAACTTAAAGATAGTCTTAAGCAGCTCTGTCAGCTACAGTATACGTCTTGTAACTTGCTATCCATTGACAGGTTTGAGTACATGCACCTATTCTGAGAGACATGTCTTGTCTAACACAAATCAACATATAGATACTGCAAGAGAGAAGATGATACTAAATTACCTTTCTTCATGCACTCGGCAATATGATCAGAAGTGAATAGTTCTTCATCACCCCGACGATCAACCATCACTTTCCGATAGTCTTCTAACATCAAAGGAGCCAAAGCTTTTGTTGGGTACTGCTTAAAATCAAATATAAATCAAGCTAAATTTAGCATCATAGATCTACAACCAATGAGCCAGTACTTCAAATATTGAAAGCACCATAAGCATGTATTTGAATTGTACCCAGAGCTTCAGACATTTGCTTCCTCTTACTCGGAATAAAATTAACAATCCCATAATCTTAAAATAAAAAATACTCATCATTCACGTCCAGAAAACATCGCATAAAGGTTTCACATTCTTTTCTCATGTCGAAAGTGTTTAATAAAGGATACATTGAGTTTATTTTCTATTTTCGAAAATTCCCATTATTTATGTTTGACTAAAAAGGGATAAGTTTGTTATTTTCAACACTCCCTCACACAATCACAAAAAGACACAAACCTATGAAGCAATGACTTGGACGGACACAACACAACAATGATATGCTGTCACCAATAACTGATAAAAATGAATAGTTGAATGTAATCACATATGTCGGTGTCGGATCCCAAACATGCTTTCAATATGAAGTGATGAGCAATACGCAATTAGCAATAAACTTGAAATTGAAAAGAAAGAATGCATAACAATACACTCATTCGACCAATTAGAGTAACATCTAAGAATTTTTAGTACAAAAAGAACTTTTCTCATTAAACACGTATCAACTGAAAATAAATAAATAAAGTCTCAATATGTTTTTAATTATATAGGATTTTGTTATTAATCGCTATACTCACTTTAAAGTCCTAAAATAAAAAAGCTATGTGTTTGTAGTCCTCTCCCTAAAGAGGGACTAAAAACAAGTAGTTTTGTGATTAGTAAAACAGAAAAGAGGATACAAGATTAAAAACAACCAGCAGCACATCATATTGAGTTAAACATTTCATCAAACAGGTAACAAGCAAAAACAGGAGTCACCCACCGTCATGTAAACCGGTCCGCTATAACCGCAAACTTCAGTGAAGTAAGCCAACGCTCCAACATGATCCAAATGACTGCACAATTTAATTTCACAAACAAATAAACATCAACAACAACACAAACATAAAAAAGAAATATATGAAAATGAATGGATGATGAAGTTATTACAAATGAGTAATGATGATGCATGAGAGAGCGTCATTGAAACTTCGAGAAGGTGAAATAAGAGAGAAATCAGGGAATTGACGGTGATCACTGTAACCCATGTGCATGCCGCAATCGAACATGATTCTCTTTCCATTGATGTTCACCACTACGCAGCTTTTCCCAACCTCTTGACCAGCGCCTACACGTTCATTGAAATTGAAAGCGGTAAGAGAGGTTCGAAGAAGAAAGTAGATATGAAATAAGTGGGAAAAAAATACCTAATACTAGAGTTTCGATGGCCATTGATGCTTTTTATGATGCTATTCTTGCACTTGCAGCAGTAGCTGTAGTACTGTGAACCGGTTGATGCTTTTTATTTAGCGCTCTAACCGGTTGTTTAAAATCGGGAGGAAGTGCTCCTTGGTGTGAAGGAAAACTAGTAGAAAACAACCGGTTGTTTAAAATCGGGAGGAAGTGCTCCTTGGTGTGAAGGAAAACTAGTAGAAAACAGGGTTAAAATAAATTTATAAATATATAGTTAATTTTAATAAATATATGTGTATTAGAGTTAAATAAAAGACAATGCAATTAAAGTGAAAGAAATATAAATTAAGAAAACAGAAATTGAATATGAAACAACTAATATAACTAAATGAAATGGTAATGTTGTCAAAAAAAGGAGTAAAGTAATAATATATAGTAAAAGAGAAGTAGTACAACAAAATATCATGTAAGCGACGTTGCAAAATAATGTGTCTGTTGGAGTTGATATCACAATGTTGACCTGTAAAAAAAATAATTAGAGAATAATTGGATTTTTCGTAATGGAAAACTTAACCAAAGAGAAGAGTATGATTGTTATACCTTCTAAATATTGTGGAAAACTTCTTTGAATACAACATTAGTGGTAGTAGCAGCCGTATTGTTATTTTTATCATGAATCAAAATTTTAAGACTTTGTTTTGTCTTAACTCGGGACATTGCGACATACAACTTACCATGACTAAATACATCATTTGGCAGGTATAAACCAACTAAGTCTAACGATTGGCCTTGTGATTTGTTAATTGTCATAGTGAAAGAAACAATAATGGGAAATTGTCTTCTCACTAACTTAAATGGTCATGGTGATTGAGAGGGGGACAAAGACATTCTTGGAATATAAATGATGTTACCTATATTCTTTCCTGAAATGATCCTAGCTTCAATAACATGATTAGCCAACCTTGTAACTGTGAGCCTTGTACCATTGCATAAACCTTCCGATTGATCTAAGTTTCTCATCAACATAATAGTGGCACCAATTTTCAACTTTATAGAATGATTAGGCAATCCAGAAGTTTTAAGAGCATTTAGAACTTCACCAGTTAAGTGTTCAAATGCATCAAAGTCGATTGTTGTTGATCTATCAATAGAATCACTACTAAAGTATTCCTTGTCTTCTCCTAAAAGAAAAAAAAAACAGACAAATGATTCAACACATAAAAAATGAAGTCAAAAATGAAATTAGCATGAAAATAGCATGAAAACAACTTCACGACATGTACAGTACCTGGAAGAAGATCTGTGATATATTGATTAATCTCATCGACAACTTCAACTGTTGAAGCCAAGATAGCACGACTTTGTAAAAAATTGGGGTCGCGGTAGTTATGAATGAGATTGGGATAGGTACTATCAACAATAGCCTTAATAGGATCTGAAAATTTTGAAATTAAAAACTCTGCAGGAATATTAATTTCAACATAACCATCATTAGGCTCACCCATGGTACCATCTCCAATTGATAAAATCCACTCAGAAAATATACGAACTTCTTCAATTTGATTTGAAGTTGTCCCACTTTGTAGGCGCATACTTTTTGTAAGTTTGAGGACTTTGCACTGATCTCAAATATAAGAAGCATTAATAGTTGAATGAATAATATCATATCTACTACCTCTTGGAACAACGGGAAGGATTTGTCTAAAATCACCACCAAAAATAACTACTTTGCCTCCAAATAATTTATTTGCAGCCTGTGGAAATTCACTCATAATGTCTCTTAAGGATTTATCAAGAGCCTCAAAGCAAAATCTATTAGCCATCGGAGCCTCATCCCATATAATAAGATCTGTTATCTTTAAAAGCTCAGCAAGATCATTTTTTTTGCCAATGTTGCAAATTGATGAATGCAAAGTAGGGACAGGTATCTTAAACCTAGAATGTGTTGTTCTTCCATCTGGTAACAACAAACTTGCAATTCCACTTGATGCCACAGGCAATACAATTTTATGTTTAGAACGAATAGCAGCAGCGAGAGTGTTCCACATAAATGTTTTACCTGTTCCACCATAGCCATATAAAAAAAACGCACCACCATTCTGTCTTTCTACGGCATCCATGACATCAAAGTAAACGTGTTTCTGCTCATCTGTAAAAAAGCGTTAGGTGACTATATGTTTCAAAATGAGAATTTAAAGCATTATTAGCCATTGACTACAATAAATGGCATTGAGGGAATCAACTATAAATAATATAAGTTATAAACATTCAGACTTTTGGATATGGCATTAACTTAAAATCATTCAGACTTCTATTGTTCTTTTGTAACTGAGTTTTTATTTCAATCAGAGTAAGTTGTTTTAATTCTTCATCGATTAGTGTTAATCCCAATGAAGCGGTAAGAGAGGTTCGAAGAAGAAAGTAGATATGAAATAAGTGGAAAATAATACCTAATACTAGAGTTTCGATGGCCATTGATGCTTTTTATGATGTTATTCTTGCACTTGCAGTAGTAGTTGTAGTACTGTGAACCGGTTGATGCTTTTTATTTAGCGCTCTAACCGATTGTTTAAAATCGGGAGGAAGTGCTCCTTGTTGTGAAGGAAAACGATGGAAAGTGCGTTTGAATTAAAACTGCGAAGTTACTTTTGAAAGCGTGGAAAAATAGTTACTTTACCTAAGTCAATTTTTTTTCTTTTAATTAACTTTTAAATTTGTAACTTTGAACAAATAATATAAAAATAAAAATAAAAACTTAAATAGTTTTTTAATCTATATTTTTTTGTCGCCATATTTTTTATTTATTTTAGTCTCTAAAATTAAAATTTATAGAAAAATTCACATGTTTTCTGCAGATTTTCTTTTATATTTTTCCTACGAATTTTAACTTTAGAAACTAAAATAAAAAAGATTTTAACATTTAGATTATTTCCAAAAAAAAATATAGGAGAGAAAATAAAAAACACACAAACTTATCAAAATCAAGAGATTTTTTAAGTAAAAAAAAACAAATGAGTAATTATTTAAATTTTATGGGTGAGTATGACAATAGGAGGGGTGTTTACATGTTTTAGTGCACCAAAGTCGAATTTCATCCTTATTCTTAAAAATGTAGGTAAATTAGAAGTAATACAAGATTGGATATTATGACAAAGATTTTATTATTTACAAAGAAATTAGATTTACATCATTTATTTTTCCATTTAAATTCATATTATATTTAGATTGATAGAATGGCGGAACAAAGGGAAATGAAATTGAATAAAGTTATGTTCTATCATTTGAATTAAAGGGGGTTTTGCATGCATACAATAACTTTTCATATATATATATATATATATATATATATATATATATATATATATATATATATATATATATATATATATATATATATATATATATATATATATATATATATATATATATATATATATATATATATATATATATATATATATATATATATATATATATATATATATATATATATATATATATATATATATATATATATATATATATATATATATATATATATATATATATATATATATATATATATAGAGAGAGAGAGAGAGAGAGAGAGAGAGAGAGAGAGAGAGAGAGAGAGAGAGAGAGAGAGAGATAGAGATATATATATATATATATATATATATATATATATATATATATATATATATATATATATAGAGAGAGAGAGAGAGAGAGAGAGAGAAAGAGAGAGAGAGAGAGAGAGAGAGAGAGAGAGAGAGAGAGAGAGAGAGAGAGAGAGAGAGAAATGTTTCCTCTCTTTAGAATTTCTTCATCTATTTCCTCTGTTTCCAGCCTCTGAAGATGACATTCTCTAGTCAATAATCACCTTCAACTACATTTATGAATCTCTTAACCTTATTCCTGGAAATCTGTTCATATGTCCTGCCTTCAGCGCTTCATCCCTCAAGCGATTTTGTTAAATATCCTCCCAAATATTTCGCACAGGTCCTAAAGGGGAGTTGTGACATTTCTCCTTCTCAACTCTCCCAAGAAATTGTTAAAAGAGATAAGCTTTTGATTACCATTCTAGAAGATGAGTATAGATCTAGACTTGAAGAATGCAAAAATAATATCCATGTCACAGTTAACTGATCAGCCAAAAAATAGTTGTTATGTGGTCTGATATGAAAAATTAGGGTGTGATATCTCTTGAAAATGGATATTATGAATTTAATTTCTCTAGTGTCGAGGATATCAGAAGGGTTAGAGCTTTTCGTTAACTGAACCTAAATCGAGAAACTCTCAAGTTCTTTGCTTATACTAAGGATTTCAACTCGGTTTGTCAATAAAACACATTTGTGCAGATTTGGGTTAAATTCTTTGGACTTCCTCATGAATGTTTGAGACCAAGAATTTTGTTTGCTATTGTGAGTAGTATTTATACATCAATCTGCATAGTTAACGCCTCTTCAAAATCTAGATTTGACCGCACTTTCAGGTAATTTGCTCGGGTGCTTGTTGACATGGATCTTTCACAACAGCCGAATCACAATGTCACATTCAAACGTGCAGGATTTGCGTTCTTCTATGATATTGAGTATGAAAATCTCCCAAAATTCTACAATCATTATAAAAGGAATTGACACAATGTCAACCTCTGCAAGCTCCTTCACGAAGAAAATGAACCGACTCCTAAACCTCAAAAACTCAAATATGTTCCAAAAGCCCCTACTGTGATCCCTCTTAAAAAGTTAACTTCTCAACAGAACCAAGTCACCCCCTCAACTGCGAATGAAGAAAATTTGATAGAAAATCCTCAAAAAGAGATGGAACAAGGTCCATCTGATCTTATCCTCAATTTCAACTCTCAACCTTCTAACCCTCAACTTTCTGTTTTAGTGGCAACCACCCAAAATATGGAGGAACCCTTCATAACTAGAGGCTCAGGTAAGGCCAATCAAATTTATTGAATAGAGAATTTCTTGAACCGATTGATGCTTTTGATTTAGCGCTCTAACCAATTGTTTAAAATCGAGAGGAAGTGTTCCATGTTGAGAAGGAAA